TTTTTTTTTTTTTGTCTAAACAGAAAAAGGGGAAATGATGGAGGAAGGTAATTGGTTAATTATAATAAACCAACTGCTTGGCCTCATAGCTTAGAACATAGATGGGAGGAGTGAACAGACTAGGATGTTGGGCGGAAGAGGAAGTGAGGTCAGACTCTGCTCTCTTTTTTTTTTTAATGACTTTTCAAGTACTTATGTTCTGAATTTTATAATACGCTTTTAAGTTGTAAAATATAAAGTTAAATCAAAATTCTTTTGTTAACTTTTGGTAGAATCATGTATCTTCTTATAATACAGGAGCAGTACAGCCTCAAGTTCCAGAGGAAATGGGAACCATTGCAAATCTGAGGGTCAGGAGGAACCCTCGGTCCCACAGAGTTCTACTCAAGCCCCTGAAGGAGACAGTGAAACAGGTTAGGTTATTTTTTTTTCTCTAAGCAGAAACCTTGGTGCTGAATAGCCACCTTTTCTACTTCCCAACAATGGTTCATTTTTGTTTGTTCTCTGTAGAGTGAGATTTTGTTTTACTTTTAAAATGCATTGTGTGGGGAAATGCCTGTGGAGGTCAGAGGACAACTTTGTGAAGTCTGCTCCCTCCTTCCACCTTGACTTGGGTTCTAGTGATCAAGTTCGGGTTTCCAGGCTTGCATTTAGCAAGTGTCTTTACCCTCTGAACCATTTTGTCGGGCTCTGGGGTGAGATTTTATTTGAATGTTAAAGGTTTCTGTCACCAAGACAGAATTCAAAGCCATTTATTTAAAGGAATGTTGGGATGTTATGGTTATATTTATTTTTCTCTTTAAACCTAGATTTAATGATGATATTTTATTTGAATGTCAAAAGTTTCTATTACCCAGACAGAATTAAGAGCCATTTATTTAAAGGAATGTTGGGGTGTTATGTTTATTTTTCTTTAAAAACTAGATTTAATGATAATTTTGTTTAACTCTAGGAGCTCCTGAAGAACTATCAGAGAAAGGAACATTTTCAGAAAACCTCACTCAAAACCAGATAGATATAGGTGAGTTGTCTCTTTGTCTTTAGGAAGCCTAAACAGTGTTAATCTGTATAAATCTCTCCAAAGGAAAAGGTTACTTCCAAACGTTAGCTGTGCCATTTTCCTGTCTTTTAAGGGAATCAGACTTAATATTAGAACATATCAGTTCCTATGTTAAGTATGTAATGATAAACACATGACTAACTTATACACGACTTTGTTCTCTGACAGCACAATCTACTAACCTCCCAGCTGAGCCATTGGATCCTAATTCGGGAGAAAGGAATGACCCAACTCCCGACAGCCCGTGTGGGGTACCAGAAGTTACTTTGTCTGAAACAGGCAAGGAGGCTTCTGAGCAGACCAGCACTGAGAGTGCTGCCAGTCAGACCAGCTCCAATCCTGAGCTCCCATCTCAAACAGAAGCCATCGAGCCTTTAGCTCACGAAGACACATCAACCAGGGACTCTGCTCTCCAGGACACAGATGACAGTGATGATGACCCAGTCCTGATCCCCGGTGCAAGATATCGAGCAGGACCTGGTGATAGGTTGGTATGTTTTTAATTAGCATAGAATATAAAATATGTAATTCACAAGAGCTTGTTTGAAGCCAAATGAGAGGCTCTTCATTTTTACAGTTGTTTCAAGAGGTGTCACAATCATATATGACACATAGATTTTAAAACTGCAAATGATTCTACATATTCTTTGAGCAAACTGTATGAAGAAGTGAACAGAAAGTGTCTTGTGCCTCAGTGTGTGGATCAAGAGAGGGGATGTTGAGAATGACTGCCAGGATGATTATGAGGTTGAGGGGACATTTAGTGTTGTCAGATTGTCCTGTAGAGATTATGACTCTTGGGTTTTGTTTGTTTATTGAAATGGGAGTTGCACTGGGTAGCCCTGGCTGGCCTGGAAGTTGGTCTGTAGACCAGGCTGACCTCGAACTCACAGAGATTCATTTGCCTCTGCCTCCCAAGTGCTGGGATTAAAGGTATGCACTACTAAGCCTGTTTTTTATTTTATTTTTGTTTGTTTGTTTGGTTTTTGAATTTTGAGACAGGGTTTCTCTGTGTAGCCTTGTCTGTTCTGGAACTCACTCTATAGATCAGGCTGGCCTTCAGGCTAGCCTTGAACTCTTAGAAATTCTCCACCTGTTTTTATTTTAATGTTACTTTTTTTTTTCTTTTTTGTTCTCTCTGGTAGTATGAGTGTTCTCTTTTGAGGAATACTATGTTTTTCTGTTTTCTAATAATGTAATAACTTAATTAGGAAAATGAAAAAGTATAATGGGTAATAAATATTGTAGCAATACTAAAGAATTGAATTGTTATTATATTTGTATGATTTTTTTCCATTCTTTGATTATATGAACAGAAGGAAGCATTTTATTTTCGGAGGTAAAATACCTTTTAATATCTTTTAAAATCACTAGGCCTGGTGATGCAGGCCTGTAATCACAGCTACTTGGGAGTTTGCAACAAGAGGATCACAAGTTGCAGGTCTGTCTACGAAGCTTAGTGAGGCTGTCACAAAATAAGAAGTCAAAGGAAAGAGGTGGGAATTGCACTCACTTGCTAGCATATGGGAGGCCCATGTTCACTCTTTGGTACCCAAGGAAGAATAGTGTGTTGTATCCCATATATATGGGAAACTACCTGTATGATTAGTACTCTCTTACCTCATTGTTCCAGAAAATCCAGTTTTATCGTTGAAGTCCTAATTCACACAGGAATGAAGTTCTGTTTGGACCATTTTAGATACTTATGTGTTGAACAGACTTTTATCAAACAATCAGTTTACATTTTTGACATAATTAACAAGATTATATATTATACATGTAGAATGAGAAGATTAGTATACCATTAAAACTTACAATCTAGCCAGGCCTGGTAGCTCATACCTGCAATCTGAGTACTTGGAAGGCCGAGGCAGAAGAATTTCTGTTTGCGTTTAAGACCAGCTTTTAGCTACATAACCTCGGATAAAGAATGAAATACATTTAAATATTAAAAACAAAACAGTAACAATGCTGTCAAGTTGTTAAGAACATCATTACTTGGGTTTGAATCCACCCCTCCTAACAATGTTTTTCCATATACGGTACTTACTGATTCAAAGGCTTGGTTTCCTTTATATCTCAAGAAGGGTTATGAAAATGAGTCAGTCGCAGGACCTGGCTCACATTGAAAATACTGATAATGTCATTAGCAACCAATGTATTTTCTGTGTAAGACTACCTAGTCCTGAAAAACAATTGCAGTACGATTGGCTCTGCCAGCTGCAGCTCAGTGAAACTGCCTCTGCTAACCGTGGAAAGAGATGTTCATTCTGTCAGCTCTGAAAAATACTTACTTTGCTACGGCACTTTTTAAATAATCTTCCCTTATATTCCTACCTAAATATTAATAAAATGCCTTCCACCTGTTAATTATCAACCTCCCATGGTTTTTGATTGATCCTTGTTTTGTTTTGAAATAGAATGTTACTATTAGCCCTAGCTGGCTCTGTAACTCAAGCTGACCTTGATCTCTCAATCCAAATGCCAAGGTTACAGGCACATTGCACAATCCTCTGGCTCAGGACACACACACACACACACACACACTTGCAAAGAAAACTTTGTTCTGTTCCTTACAAGGTCATTACTACTTAATGTATACAGGTAAAGTTACCAAGCATAGCACAAGTCGAAAATCAAACTGCTGATTTCTAAAACATCACCATTTTTATAATATTTAGGTAATTGCTTATTCTCCAAAGGTTTCATCTGCCACGAAGTTGGTACCTGATAACTTGATTAACCTAGAAAATTCAAATGTAGAATTAGATTAGTTAAATATTTAGAAGGTTGGTATTTATGGATAACAGCATGGAACTGCCTCCTCTTTATGCATGAGCTTAAATTAAACTTTTAAAGACCGGATATTATTTAACAATCTGTATACTCAGGTTCCTTGACCTAAGTTTGGCCTGTATATTACTTAGCTTTTATAGGACATAAATTTATAGGCTAGCAACAGAAATAATAATAAAATTCTTACTCTTCAGGAATCTTAAAAATTTATTGCAGAAGAAAATATACAAGCAATTCAAAGCAAGAGAAAACTAAGTATCTAAAACTAAGTAAAATGTCGCCTGGGTAAATATACCCAACTGAGGTGATGCTAATGCCATTGTAGCACTCTTTCAGCATTATAACCGGTTCCCTCCAGACTTGCTTTGTCTTTTCCCAGGTTTGGTGTTGTTTTCATTTGTTTGTTTGTTTATTTGGATATGCTTTTTTGTTGCCTCATTTTGTAGTCCTGAGGCCTTGAATTCAAAGTAATCTTCTGCTTTAGCCTCTGAAGTAATGGTGTTACAGGCAAGAGGCACATCTAGCCTCTCCTCCTAGCTCTTTACCAGAAGCTTGTAAGTGATTAAAACAAGACTCTGGAATCTGGTCTTTCTGTGGTGTCCAGCTTCCCTAGCTCCACTTGCTGTGTAGCTAGGGTAAAGAGTGTGCCTGCTGTGTCTGCCCTCTGCATCATCCTGAGGCTGCTGCCATCTTGTTACTGCTTAGTGATGGACCATTTGCATGGCCTCAGGCCCAGTTTGTTGCTTCTAAATTTGGAGGTAAACAATAGATTGACTTATATTCTAAAAGGAGCAAGTTTTAAGAGAATTGACTTGTAAGAATCCAAATCATTTCCCATCTTGTAAAAGTAGCAATATTTGGGCTACTTTCTGTCTCTGAAGAGGCAAAGGTACATGCTACACATTGGTGAAACACCCATCTTAGTCACTCTGACGCCATTGACCACTCTAGGCCCAGTCTAGAAGTGCAGTGTGCCGTCAGTGTGCCCCAGGACACTTACTTGCTGCCATTTAAAAAGCCCAGTCAGTTAATTTAGTTAGGGTAGAGAAATGGTCCTCATAGTAAGAATGGTAAAAGTCAAATAGTTAAAAAGTTAAATGTACAGTTAGTTAAATTTTTATTTAAATTTCTCCAAAAAGCTATATAGTATATGTCACAATTTTGCCCTGATTTTAATTTTAATTTTATTGTTTTCTAAATTTAAACTTTTAAATGACGCCTTAAAAGTTTCATATAGTTAAGCCCTTGATATATATATTTAATTTAAAATACCAAACAGCCCTTGTACTACAGAGTAATGATTTCCATAATTCATCTGCTTGCATTCTTTCTGCATTTTTGAACTTGCTGTGTATTTGAAGGTGACATTTAATTCCTGATCCTCCTGCCCCCACCACCAGGGTGGGATTACAAGCAGGGCCACCAAACTTGACTATTAGAATTCTTAAAGTTCTGTTATGTACTAAGCCAGTTTGCATTTTTTTTTTTTTTTTGGTTTTTTGAGACAGGGTTTCTCTGTGGCTTTGGAGCCTGTCCTGGAACTAGCTCTTGTAGACCAGGCTGGCCTTAAACTCACAGAGATCCACCTGTCTCTGCCTCCCAAGTGCTGGGATTAAAGGCATGCACTACCACTGCCCGGTGCCAGTTTGCATTTTGAGGCTGAAATGAAGCATGATAAGGCAATGCCTTGAAAAATAAAGGCCATAGCAGCAACATAGGTAATTTCAATGTGAATGCTCTTCTCTAACTATAGCAAGTCTGTGTAAAAACAGCTGGAACTCTAAAATAGAGGTATTCAGACTTTTTTTTCCCAAAGGGCAAGATAATAAATAATTTAGGCTTTGCTAGCCATGAGGTAAAGTGGAAACTATTACATAGGCACTTATATAGCTATTTAAAATGTAAGCCATTTAAAAATGAGAAAACTGTCCTTAGCTTAAAGGTCATAAAAATAACTGACCAAAATTTAACATAAAAGCAGTTTGCTGGTGCCTGCTTTTTAACAGATAGTCACAGAGAGAACTTGGCTATGTCTCTTAATGTCTTTATTGGCAGAAATCCAGATTTTAAAAGAAATGGGTCCTCTTTTTCTAGGATAGAAGCATAAACCATTAAATATAAAATAAACTGGTAAAAATACATTGTGTTCACTAATGGTGGTATTAAAAACAAGTAAGATTGGTATGTTTATTCCTTCACTAATTTCATATGCTGGATTTGTGAACATTAGAATGTACCTTGGGAATGAGAAAGTGCCTGGCTTTTCTTTCTTTTCTTTTGAGGACAGAAAGGATCTCGTTGTGTGCAGCCCTGGCTGGCCTTGAACTCTGCTCCTGCCTCCGGAGTGCTGGGATTAAAGGCGGGCAGCACCACACCCAGCAAGCTTTTTTCTTAGGTAGTTTTCTTGTAAGCTCCTCTTACAGCGCCAGCTTCATCATGGAGTAAATGGAATGATGACTTTTTTTTTCTTGATAAATCAAAGAAGAAAACAAAATTACTCTGAAAAAGACAAGCAAATAATACTTTGTGAAGCCCTTAGTGCACTGAATAGCTAAATTGTTATAGTTCTAATGAGTTCTTCCTAATGATTTAAAGTATTCAGCCTATATTGCTCCATTAATTATTTTTACCTTTTTATTGTTTTTATTGAGCTATACATTTTTCTCCACTCTCTTCCCTTCCTCCCCTCTT